CCCAGCACAACGCTTCGTGGCCCCACAGGGAGCTCCACCGAAGGCCCCAGTGGGGGTGCCCGCATGCGCCCGCCACACCCAGTACAGCGTTTCGTGGCCCGATAGGGGGTTCAACCGAAGGCCCCAGTGGGGGGGGAGGGTAGCATGCGGTTCCCCCACCCAGGGCAGCGTTTCGTGGCTCCATGAAAGCTCCACCGGTGGCCCCAGCGGGGGAGGTCGCACGCGGTTCCCCCATCCAGGACAGCGCTTCGTGGCCCCACAGGGAACTCCAACGAAGGCCCCAGTGGGGGTGTTCGCATGCGGGTCCCCCACCCAGGGCAGCGTTTCGTGGCCCCATAGGGGACTCCACCGAAGGCCCCACTGGGGGTGTTCGCATGCGGTTCCCCCACCCAGGGCAGCGCTTCGTGGCCGCATAAGGAACTCCGCCGATGGCCCCAGTGGGGGTGGGAACATGCACTTCCACCATCCAGGGCAGCGCTTCGTGGCCCCATAGGGAACCCCACCGAAGGCACCAGTGGGGGTGTTCGCATGCGGCTCCCCCACCCAGGGCAGCGTTTCGTGGCCCCAGAGGGAGCTCCGCCGATGGCCCCAGCGGGGGGGGGGGGGTCGCATGCGGTTTCCCCACCCAGGGCAACGTTTCGGGGCCCCATAGGGAGCTCCACCGAAGGCCCCAGTGGCTGCTCCCGCATGCGGTTCCCCCACCCAGGGCAGCGCTTCGTGGCCCCATAGAGAGCTCCACCGAAGGCCCCAGTGGCGCAGTTCGCATGCGGTTCCCCCGCCCAGGGTAGCGCTTGGTGGCCCAATAGGGAGCTCCACCGAAGGCCCCAGTGGGGTGTTCGCATGCGGGTCCCCCACCCAGGACAGCGTTTCGTGGCCCCATAGGGAGCTCCACCGCAGGCCCCAGTGGGCTCCACCGAATGCCCCAGTGGCTGCTCTCGCATGCGGTTCCCCCGCCCTTGGCAGCGTTTCGTGGCCCCATAGGGAGCTTCACCGACGGCCTCAGTGGCTGCTCTCGCATGCGGTTCCCCCACCCAGGGCAGCGTTTCGGCTTGATTGAAGTGAGCTGGAGCGCAAGCGCTGGCATCGCAAAGCGCTGGGCAAACAAAAACAACAACACCAACAAAACACGATGGGGGACAGACGTAGCGAAACAAAACATAGAAGAACGTGGCTGATCAAAACATTAAAATCTGTATTCGCAACGCTTATATATATATATATATATATATATATATATATACATACATACATATAACTAAAATTGCGAATCCCACCAGCCCTTTGGGCGTGAGTGGTTTAGCGGGCTCTCTCTGTTCTCAACCCCCCAACCCCCCTTCTTCCCCTTCGGGGAGTGGTGTACCCCTCCCCCTACCCCCTCCCCATGGGCCTGGAGAGGGAGTCCCGCGGGTGGTCAGGGGGGGTCTTTTTCGACGCCTGGGAGGGCCAAAAAACGACGACCCTCACGAGGATTCTGGCCCCGACGGGGAGACCCTCTTGTAGCCCCCTCCTCTTCTGTGAAGCCAAAATCATTGTTTTTACGAGGGTTTTGGCCCCATTTTGGCCTCCCGAGGGGGCCGCGCTCATCTTCCTTCATAGCAAAATCATTGATTTTACGATGGTTTTGGGCTCATTTTGTCCTTCTCAGGGGGCAGCGCTTCCTTGCGCTTCTGAGGAGGTCGCAAGAGGCCCCAAGATGGCCCCAAGAGGCCCCCAGGAGCCTCCCAAGAGGCCTCCAAGAGGCCCCCAAGAGGCCCCCAAGAGGCCCCAAGAGGCCCCCAAGAGGCCCCCAAGAGGCCCCCAAGAGGCCCCCAGAGGCCCCAGGAGGCCCCCAAGAGGCCCCCAAGAGGCCCCCAAGAGGCCCCCAAGAGGCCCCAAGAGGCTCCAAGAGGCCGCCAAGAGGCCCCACGAGGAGCCCGAACGACTCACACCAGGACGAGGGGCCCGAACGACTCATACCACGAAGAACCCGAACGACTCACGCCAGAAGGAGGACCCCGAACGACTCCTACCAGGACGAGGCGCCCGACCCATTCACACCACGAGGAGCCCGAGCGACTCACACCACGACGCGCGCCTCGAACGACTCACACCACGAGGAGCCCGAACGAGTCACACCAGGAGGAGGGGCAGCGCCCAGACAAGCCCCCCAAGAGGGCCCCCAGAGGTCCACCATATGGCCCCCCAAGAGGGCCCCCAGATGGACCACAAGAGATCCCCAGGAGGCACCACGACGCCTCCAGGAGGTCCCACATATACCCCCAAGAGGTACCCAAGATGCGCCAAGAGGCGCCGAAGACGCCCCAAGAGGTCTCCGAGCAGCTTCCAAAAGACATCTACTACTACCCTTTCCCCTACGATTACTACTACTTGTACTTCTACTACTACTCATACTCGTTGCACTACATACTGGAAATACCACCACTACTACTACTACTACTACTACTACTACTACTACTACTACTACTACTACTACTACTACTACTACTACTACTACTACTACTACTACTACTACTACTACTACTACTACTACTACTACTACTACTACTACTACTACTACTACTACTACTACTACTACTACTACTACTAGTACTACTACTACTACTACTACTACTACTACTACTACTACTACTACTACTACTACTACTACTACTACTACTACTACTACTACTACTACTACTACTACTACTATAACTACTACTACTACTACTACTACTACTACTACTACTACTACTACTACTACTACTACTACTACTACTACTACTACTACTACTACTACTACTACTACTACCTACTACGACTACCATGACTATTACTACTACTACTACTACTACTACTACTACTACTACTACTACTACTACCACTACTACACTCCTCATACTCCGACTACTACTACTATCTACTACTAATACTACTAACTACTACTACTTACTACTAAGGCGAGACTACAAGACTACTACTACTACTGCTACTACTACTACTATTTCTACTACGACTACTACTACTACTGCTACTACACTACTACTACTATACTACTACTACTACTACTAGACTA